CCCGGGAGTCGGTTCAGTTCTCCTCTTGAACCGCGTGTATCGCTCGAGTCCCGTTGCAATTTTTTCCCCACATACACACACACCTCTTGATCTTTTGTGTGGTCCGACGTTTGAGTCGACTTGAAATGGACGCGTTATATTGTATAATTTTTACGTTCACGTGCGACTCTTATCATTTTTCAAGAACTGAAATTTTAATGGCGACGCGAAAAATTTTGCATTATGTAGTCGATTGGATTACTATTATGTAATTTTGGTTGAATGGTTCAAGTCTCTTGGGATTAGTTCGTGTTTGATTTACTCAAGTATCAATCACCTTTTTGAATCAAGCAACGCGTGCCAGACGAATCAGGGAACAGCGTTACAGTGAGAAGGTTGTTTTTATCGTTTTCAAAATTACTCCGGGACTCAAGATACAGTCGAAACTTTTCGAGTTGAATTTCAAGGAAACATGGGGAAAATCGAGTTGGGGAGGTTTTGAGTTGGAGAAACGATCATTTTTGTTGAAGGAAAGAAAGAAGAATTACAGAAAATTGGAATTGGTGATATTTTGGATCTCAAATGGCTTTTTAAATTAGTTCAAAGGATGCTTAACATGGTTGCAAGAGTTGATTTGTCCGATTACTCTTTCCACGTCCTTCCAAAACACAATTAACATTTTTTGCGTTTCTTTTCTCGTCATTAAAATTTTAGCCAGAAGGCCTCCGGAAAATTCGGGTTATGAAGGTTTAAGGGGTTAAGCCTTCGAGTTGAAAGGTTTTTGAATTCCTTGTTTTTAAGGGAATTGAGACGGGAACTTGAAAAAATTCGATACGAAGTGGTATTAGACTTGCGACGATTCGAGTTATCGAGGTTCCACTGTAATTGTTGCGCTGTGGTTTGATGTACATTTTGCGATTTTGGATTTCGTTTGTGACTATTTTCTGGAATCATTTGTTCCATTCTTGGAATTCGTTTCGAAAGCCGATAATTTTCCTGCCTGCCGGCTTTGTTCGTTATAAACTCAGCTGCCAATCGTCAAATTTGAAAAAATGATTATGAATCCCGAAGGTTAATTTGACAGAGACGGGCTTTCAATTAAAATTGATTTCTAAGGTCTCATGTTTCTGACAGAGTTCCAAATGGCACGTTTCAAATTCTAGGAAGTTCAATTTGTGATGGTAATATATTTCCGCACCTTTTCAATATTGGCATCATTACATTTTAAAAAGTGTAAGATCTCTCCGCAGTATCGGAAAACTGAGTAAACGTAGAGCAAAGGTAATTTTCACATTCTTACCGTGCACAGTACCAACAATTTTCACAAATTTCATTTTCAATTGTTATGCAACTTTATGTACAATTTACCAACGTCCTCTGACAACAAATTTATTGGACCTCCTCCTGAAGAAAAAAACTACTGTACCATAAATAAAGCTAAAATGAAACCCTCGACGAGTCCAGCTACAGATCTTCAGATCTTCTTGAAAGTTAATGTTAGGATGCAACCTTCGGGATCACGGGAAATGAATATTTGAAAGCTCGAGTAAATGGAATGCGTCACGTTTACTCGGTTGTGTCACGAATGAGTTGTTTTTATCGATTTGAATTCAATGGACATTATTCATTGGTGGTTCGGATCGCGTCAAAAAAAAACATCACGTGTTCACCAGTATTGTCGGCGCATTTCTTTTTTCGGTGAGGACGGAACAGGGCGAAGAAGAGAATAATTTTTGGAAAGGGTTGGGTGAAGAAGTAAGGAAAGGAAAATGTATCGTCCGGGGTCTTTCCGCAACATGCTGGAAAGCATTCTGCAAACATCTGACGAGCGATCTCGTGGAGGCGACACTTGCGAACATAATCCATTGAGTCTGGATTTTGAAGTTGATCGCGGTTATAGCCAGATGTCGCTTCTCAACGACCAGGAACTTGTTGCCCACGACGATGGGTATGATTCGTTCCGGTTTGAGGGACACAAACCGGATTTCAGTCCGATGCTGGAAGGCGAAAATGAGTGGATGGACCTTGTGTAAGATCCCTGCCATTTTCGTACATGCGCCGATTCATCATGAATTTCCCCGTATTAAAAGAAAACATTTACTGAAAGCCAAGGAACATTTGTATATAATTATTGTAAGCACGAGAGTTTCTTTTTTTGGCGGTCGACGGAAACTTTTTTATGACTGTCTCCATTCCATTTGATTTTCAATTCGATTTAATCGAATTTTTCTCAGCTTGTAAGTATTTTTTGTGCCAACAAGAGGAATTTTCCGCTAGGTTTTCATTTGGTTAGAAGTGGAATTTTTACGAAATATGCACAGGTTTCAGGATATATTTTTATGTTTCCAGAATTTATACGTACTTGACGTAATCATCTACCGTTTTGATACACTTTGTCATACTTTTCATGGAAGAATTGAACACGTCGAAAACTCTTCAATTTTCCGCTTTTGGAAGTTTTTGAACGCACTCAATTTTCATCAGTGAATTGAGGAAAACAGGTCTTGGAAAAATTAGAGAAATGGCGGGAAATTCGCGTCATAACCTGATTTTACGGAGACGTTTGAATTATTTTTAATTATTCAGTAACGAAACCTATGCTGTAACAGCTCGATTATAAAGTTCATAATGTGTCTTCCTGGATTTTTCGCTCAAATTTTGGCAGTGATAGAGCAAACTATTTTCTTGCGTTTTCATTATGCCATTGCATTTTATCCCGGCGAATGAAAATGCCGTGGGACTCCGACGATTCGACTCAGGGACGCTTGAAAAAAAAAAAAAAAAACTGTTCGTCATCTGTACACTGTCTTGAGATACGACACTTTCCCACCAGTTCTCGAAAAAATTGAACAGCTTTTTCTAAGTTTCATTTTCTCTTGAACAAATTGAGATACAGTATTTATATTCACAAGAATTAAAAATAAAATTCTTCATGCATTTTTAAAATAAAAAAAACAAGCTGATTTTACGCTTTTTTTTAAAGAGTTTTNAAAAAATTGAACAGCTTTTTCTAAGTTTCATTTTCTCTTGAACAAATTGAGATACAGTATTTATATTCACAAGAATTAAAAATAAAATTCGTCATGCATTTTTAAAATAAAAAAAACAAGCTGAAAAATGCGAAAAAAAATTTCTCAAAAAGAAGTAGAAAACACGTGTAATAGCCTTCTGTAAACTAACAAGAAGCGACGAACTCGAGAGAAAGTACGGTGTTCTAGTCTAAAACACAATAAAAGAAGACCACAGTTTTTTTTATCGTGACGTGAAATAAAAAAATTTAGTTTTTGTGGACTTCAATACTAATTTTTGATGAACAGGGGAACCAAGTAAATATGTTCCCCTGTTATGAGGACGTTATGACCTAGGGGCAAGGTCCAAGCGCCAACTACGTGCGCATTTCGGGGCTCCGCTGTAGGAGATGAGGTTGCTTCTTTGTTGGAATTTAACCCCCGAGTCGTATTTGAGAGAAATAACGAACCCCTTTTCTTAAGGCTCGATGACTTGTCTCTATCTTACAAGGTAGAAGAGAAAAAAGATCGTATCCCTCGTCAGTTGATTAATTACGGTTAGGAAAGCGTTTTTGCGCACCAGTCATTAACTATTTTGCAATTTTGTTCGCAGTGCGTCGGGTCCAGGCAGCGGTGGAGTCGCGATCGACAACAAGATCGAACAAGCCATGGTGAGTTTGAAGATGTGTGTCGAACGGCGCAGTTTTCTCGTTTGCTGAGCAAACTGGGCTGATCGAGCTCATTTTTTTCCATTCATTCTTTTATTTATTTTTCTCTCGTTCACGGGACACACGTTTGCTTTTCATCCGTTTCGATTTTGTTGGGTGCGGGGGCGAGCAGAGAAGCCCCGAGTCCAGTCGAGATTGATTGATTTCTTACCGGTGAATTGACGTCGTTTGCCAATTGTAACGGTTGATGTTGATTTCTTGGGTTCTTCGGGCTCAGAAGTTGGCGGATTAGATTTCATGAGATTGCGTAGCGATTAAAGCCAGAGCTTCTTCTCGTTTGTGGTTGCGTTGAATTCAAGGCGTCGTTTTTAATTTTGCGACGTGTCGTTGCCATGATTTTTGTTGATGTTTGCAATTGCGGTTAAAATTTCAGCCCATGGGTCAACAGTCGATTTATTAGCTCTTGTGTGTATGGAAGTCCTGGGTTGTCTGCACTTTAATTTTAAAACATTCATTATTCGATTATAGGGGCTAAGGATCAAATTATGATGAAAAATATTTTGGATCAGGCTTGAAGGGAAATTTACGAGACAGAAGAACTTTTCAAGCACTACCGTTCGATTTTCTGAGCTGAGGGAATTTTGCAAATTTCCATCAGGGGAATTTTTCTCTGTAAAAATTCTAAGAATTACAAATAGCTGTGAAATGCAAATACTGTAATTCATATTTTTTATACATACAAATTCGATTTTGCTCTTGAATCGGAGTGTAGTACTGTACTGTTCAATTGACAAGTAGGCCGTCGCAATGAAACTTTGATCATTTGGCGATTTCTCGATGTACAGTAATATTTTTTTAAATCATCGTGGGAGAGTTGTAGAGGAGACATAATTTTAAATTACTGCATTGACAGACCAGATCGTCTGATCTTCTCTGTACAGTGCTTAGATAGATGCCTGCCTGTGGCTGATTCGTTCAAGTGTCGCTTCCAATGCCTAAATTTCTCAATGACCGTGCTTGATCATGATGCAGGACCTGGTGAAGAGCCATTTGATGTTCGCGGTGCGAGAAGAGGTGGAGCTGCTGAAGGAGACCATAACTGAGTTGAAGGAGCGCATTTCGGACCTGGAGTACGAGAACGGGATCCTGCGGGCCCACGCGAACTCGGACACGCTGGCCCTGGTGCAGTCGGCGAAGGCGGCCGCCGTGATCCGTGCCACCCCGACGGCGGTCAACTCGTCGTCATCGTCGACGTCTTGTGCGACGACGGTGCCGACGACCACGACGGTGGCGGCGTCGTCGTCGGCAACCTCGTCGACTGCCACGACTTCCACGCCAGTGGCCATGTCGACGACGGCGACAGTGCTGGCGGACGTGCCGAGCCAGCAGTTGTCGGTGGCGGCCGTCGCGGCGGCGGCTGCTGCTGCACAGGCCGCCGCCGCCATCTCCCAGTGACTCCTCTTCTCTCTCTCTCCCCCTCTCCCTCTTGGCTTCAACTTCCGTCTCCCTCTCTGTTCGTTCGTTCTTTCGCTTGTTCCTTCCGCTGCGATTTTGCTTTCATTTTGGTTTTTGTTCTTTCACCCCGGGGGAAAAAGAACTGTCGGTGCTTGTCCCATTCCAAACAGGGTTATTTTCCACTGGATTGGCAATGAATATCGCTCAACAATCAAATTCTGCAGGAACCATGACATTTAGTTGATCTGAACCTTCTCAGAAACTGCAATAAAATATTCATCTTCTGCTTTGTTGTTGTAAAAGAAGGCAGTACTGTAGTAATAAAAATGAAAATAATATTACCCTGTGCGAATTGGCAACCCAGCACTGATAACGCCTCAAGATTGTTTCAAGCCTCTGAAGAAAGATGATGCTTTGAACGTGTTGCTTGTGGAATGGAGACAAAAGAAAAAGAGAAGGTGTTGCGGGCGTATCCGTCGACGAATTTTCGACCCCTGTGTTTTT